TATGTATGTATGTATGTATGTATGTATGTATGTATGTATGTATGTATATGTGTGTGTGCTTTAAAACTGCAAAGGTTCAGGGGGCCAAAAAATCATGGATCCTGTTCATACTCCATGTTTTCCACTGTGCGTCAACCAACATATGTGGTCACTGGAATCTCGTCGAATGGCAGATGCTCCTTTGAAACAGGAAAGGCAACACCCTGCAAAAATCTTTTGGCCCGTATCCCCAAGACAATCTTCGGGCCAAGGTGAAGCAGCATGCTGAGTAGAGGATCTCCGCATCAGTATATACTCGGACTATATAAGTCCCACATTTGGTTGACCATGACGCAGAGAAACATACAAACACTCTCGAGGGAGCGACTCTCGGCTTTGCAATCAGAAGTCTTATGCATCGAACGTTTGGATTCGTCCCCCAAATGGTTTTGGGGTCAACCCCTTCATGGAAGGTCTCCAGTCTCCACGTTATTCCTTTTTGGTTCCGTTCGGCCTCAGGAGTCAAACTCTTCCAGCAGAATACATGGAGTAGAAGAACTACGGACAAGTCCGAAGTGATACATGACCCTTTCCTTCCAATTGTTCCATACTATTTTTATAATTGTATCCTGTATCCTCTTCTTTTCGGCGCCCTAGACTGCAAGCCATTCTCTCTTTCAGGATCTAAGGTCCCCACTTCCAGATGTCCTGCAGCGTTCACAGAACTATCGTGGATAGAAGGTGAAGGGGTGTATCCACCGGAATTCGAGGGATCTCTGAAATCTGAGCACCGAACTTCCCACAACTTCCTGGGCCTTGCAACATCCTCCCCAAACAATGTTTGTGAATCGGCACCGACAACAGGTGCGCTCCCCAGACTGGGGAATGTCGCTTGTGGTCGTGGTGTGCTCCTACATCTTCAAAAAGGACACATGTGTCGCTTGTGGCGCAAGCATTGTTAGTGGGACTTGGTGAGAAACCCAAGGCGGGTCCTTGTGTCCCACAAACATGGCGACCCTACAGGATTTGAACTCCCTTTGTATTGGATTGGATTGCATGACTCCGAAAAATGAATACAGTAGTTAAAAATGATACACATTCATGCATTCAAGCAAGGTGTATCTCATGTGTATTGAAGCTCAATCATGTCCCTGGGCAAACTGGGGGTGATCACCTCATTTCCCAAACAGTCATGCACGCTGCACTGCATCATGCTGCTGAAGCCTCCATTGAAACACGTAAAATATCATACAGTAAAAGTACCTGTCCTCACTGAACCAAGACTTCTGCTGTGGCGCTCGATCGCCAGATCCGCCACATCCGCTTACTCCGTCGGCCAAAACCCGTGGAGCACCCCATGGCGTCGCCTGGGTCTGTTCCGTCTCCGTCACCACCCGGCCATTCTTGTCGCGGCGCTTGCAGGCCACGCGGGGGGTTTTCTCCTCGGACACGAAACCGATTTCGGTGGCAGGTCCGAGTCGCGTTGAAAGAACTCCCGAAGAGTCCCTGGAAAAACAAGGTGAAAATCGCAAGAGCACTGAGATGGTCGACTGCCCCTTGTGAAGGGTCGTGGAGGCCCCCTCCCTCCCACGCCCAGGCGACAAGTCCCTACCGCCCCATCTCACTAGCTCGTGACACCCCACCGAGGCCCAGGCGATGGTTGCCTGCCGGCCGGCGACGTGGCAACGGCCGGTGACGGTCACCACCGAGGGACCCACGGTGACCCACGCGCCACCACCGGTTGAATTGCAGGTTGAGAAAAGGAACACCTGGCAAGGGTTGATGTCCACAAGGCTTGCTCCGCTTGCGAGATGTAACATCTCTAGCCCTTATGCAACAGGGACTCTTAGCTCAAACCCAGCGGTGAGAACCCTCTCGTGTACACAGAGGGAATCTCTTGGGGTTTGGCCATGTCCATAGATTCCAGACGGTCGCATCGGGACATGCTGCCAGCTACGAGTACCATTTTGGATGGAAATGGCCTACCACGGAGTCAACAAAGAGGAAAGTTCTAACAGATCCCAATTGCCATGTCTGTTTTGAGCATGTTACCTGAAGATGGCTCCAGGCACCACCCCTGCCACTACCCAAGTTATCTTCCCAATATGTACGAGCGGTTGAAGTCTCGGACATCGCCTGCAGCAAGCCCGCTTCGTCCACTTCATCGAAGGCCTTTGGCCGTCGAGCCGGGACGAAGCCGTCACCAAATGGATTGAAAACGACGGCGTCTTTCGGGCAAACTGAGCACCGGGAAAAGGGGTCGAAGTGATCAGTGGGTGTGCGGTTGTGCGCTAAAGCTCTCTATTAAACGAACATGGAAGTAGCCTCCCACATATGTAATATATATATATATATACAAACAGTCGTGCGTACAACTAGGCGATCCTTGTGGGGGCATGCTCTAAGCAAAGCTTTGATTTATGGAAATAAGAATCCCCGATGACATCCGATGATATAAAAGGGGAGATCCCATTGATCTGCGTCCGTCGTATCATGTGCACTGCAACGATGAAAACCGCGCCTTGGACCACCCACGTCCCCCGCCCGCACCGAAGCGCGCCCCCCGCAGCACGTCGAACCGCGCGATGCTTCCCCACCTCGGCTGGCAGCTGCCGCACGTCCGTCGCCTTCCCCCGGTAGACCTGGGCACGTGGTTGCCGAAGCAAGGGCAGGGTCGAGAATCGCATGGGGCCTGGCGGAGGGGCCTCTCCGGAAGAAGTGATGCAAGTAGATAGACTCCCCCGACGTCTCGACGTCTAACATAGCCCCTGACTGGTGGAAAGGTGAGAAGGTGGGGCTGGCGACTATGCTGGCGTGGGAGGAGGGTGCAGTAGAAAATGGAAGAAAGGCTACAGCCCAACTGGTCTTTGGACTGTCTCAAAAGTTTGCGCATCAACAGCTCATCCAAAACATGCATGGAACTCCCCAAAAAGGACAAAATTGTTGATGGAGTGGTTGAAGGCTTTTGAAGGTCATCATGGTGGGCCGCCCCTCTTGATGCCCTTTACGCAACTGCTAGCTCTGGACAATCCTGAAACAGAAGGCCAAACTCGACATCAGCACTGTCAAGTTGGACCTTCAAGCTTGCCAAGGCTCAAAAAATGGTTTCCCACCCACACCATCCCACACCCATCAAGTTCATAAAACTGGTAAGAACAACATCTCTGGTCCCCAAAGGGTTCTTATTGAGCCTGTGGATGCACACCAATCACTGGATACTTTGTGCAAGGGAAAGGGGCCGGCCGGGTCTGTGCATCTACGACTGTCCATGCCATCAGCATTTTCGCTTGTACCGATTCGACCTGGCCAAATCTCACCAACGGATCTGGCGCTCGACGATGTGTCATCCAAATGGGCGGAACAAAGAGCTGGTGGTGGGTCTTCGGTCACCAGTTGCACCCCTTGACTCTACAGGGCGCTAGCTCCCTGAAAAGCAGGGGAAGACCTTGAACTTTGCTGAACATGCAGCCTTGGCATTGATCGAGTTTGCAACCCAGTAGAGTCCTCGCCACCTCTCCAGACGACCGGCATTTGCCCAGCAGCAATGAGGCCCTTCAGTCGTCGATGGGTTTGACCCGCGATGGATGAGGAGCCCTGGCAGCGACGGGCGGAAAGGCTCATACATTCCTTGAAGAAAAAGGGATCCCAAAACCTGGAAAAGAGTCTTCTAGCGGCCCATGTTTGGTAGGTTCATTCGACCCCTTAGATTGCACAGTGGCCCAAAAAGCTCGACGAATCTGGCTCACCAACATGCGGTCCCCATGTAGTCTGAGGCAGCACACTTCCCCCCCGAAAAGCAGGCTGTCCTTTTGAGGTGGACTGCCTGAAGCCAGATATGACCCATGGAGCCCCAGGCTGGGCGGGGGGTCAGGTGGTGTAGGACTCCTTGGCGCCGATGACAACAGCACCGCAAGTACATCTGCGGAGCACAGACCTATATCGGATGCTATGCCACTAGTGATGTGAGAGACAAAAAAATTGTCACCTTAACCATCCTTTGCACACACCACCCAGAAAAGCAGCCACGGTGAGGGTTCCCAGACTGGATCCTTCTTTTCCTCACCGGCCGCGCATCCACCTGAGGGGCCCATTCGGCCGAGAGGATCGCGCGCGCCAGCTCCTGAGCACCAGATCGGTCGATCGGACTGATCGCGTCGGGGTCGCCCGGAAGGAAGTCACCGAGGCGGTGCCAGAGGAGACCAGGCCAGAGGTGTCTCGTTCTCCAGAAGCCATTCGGGCTCTGAGAAGCAGCTCTCTGGGTTGCTGGAGGCCCCAATCACAAGGGTTGGATCTTCTTTTAGAGCCCTCGATGATGGCAGGTCATTGCCGGCGATCGAAACACGGCGAATGGCAACATGACTAGGTCCGGAACCAGCAGCTGCATGATGTGGTACTATTGCCAATGGGTTTGAGGTGCACCCTGTTCATGAGCCATGCCGTGCCATACCCATATGATTGTGCATCCACCTCGTGTGGAAGATAAACACTACAACATCTCTTCTGTAAGTCTGCATGCGTGAATCTAATTGTTGTGTACATACCCACGCATATTGAGCAGGCGTCTCAACTGCAAATGTCCTCAGAGAGAATCTGTGCTTTCCAAAAGTCCATACTATACTTTGAAAAACATTGCTTTCGTGGACTCTACTGCTGGTTTCAGGGATGGACCCCAAACCAAGCGAATCTAGTTTACACTCCATCTTGGCGCCTGGCATTCTTTTTGCTTACTGAAACCCCATTTTGTGCTTGGCAAACTGCGTGGGAAACGATCCAACCTGGTTGCACTCAACCAGTGACCCTCGCGCCCTCCGAACCATCCCCAGGCTCCTTGGCGGCCACCCGAACGCGAGCCTGGCGCGCAAAATCGCGCGGTTGGACGGTGCATGGGATGTGTTTTGTGTCAGACACACCAATCCTTTTCATACTTGAAGCTGAAAGGCAAAAGGCTGAAAGGTGGTCCAAATGGTGGTGGTGTGTCTAATATTCCTGTTTTTAGAAGCAGCCTTTTTGTGGGCAGGGGTGGCAAACGTTTTTTTGGTACGCTTGCCGAAGTTTTCGTGAAACGATCGCCAAACTTCGCAAACAAACACCGACACTGACAAAGTCCTACCCAAAAAAACATGAAATATTTAGAAATATATGGGGGACTGAGGCATGACATTGTCGTTTCGCTGTATATAGATAGATGTAATTGGATCTTTCACGAATTTGAGAAGAATGCCTTTGCCAACTCAAGGTCACAGAGCTGCCTGAAAATGCCCATCACAGTTCTCGAGGACTCAACCAATTGAAGCAATTCTTTTCAGTTGTTGGCTGTACTGGATCTGAACCTGCTTCATTCAAGCGCTCCAAGTATAGCCACCAGCAGCAACAAATCAAATAATGAAGGGAAGCGTTTTGGAGCAAGTTCCCCATTGAGAAGAAAATTGACAATAACCCTCTGTCAACCTGATGCATGAGTACTGAAGCCCCTGCTGCCCAAGAGCCTGACGAGGATCCTCTTTGCACCAATCCCCAGTAAACTCCAGTTCACCAGTTTGTGTGTGTGTCAATTCAACTCTTAGCTAAAAGAGGCATGACTCACATTTCCCTTCACCCCTTTGCTTTCACCCACCGAAATGTTCAGCATCCACCACAGCCATGTGTCCCCCACCAAAAACGGCGCACGTCGTTATTTTGCCGAAAACAAAAATGGCCGTCGAGTCGCCTCAAAGTCCTGCAGGTTGGGATGGTTGGCCAAGGTGCGCTCCAAGGCATCCTACGAGCCACGCGGGAGCGGCTGGGCACAAGCAGCTCAGAGTTCCGGGAGGGAAAATCTTGGTCGAACAAGTTAGAGAAAAGGGCACCGGAATAGAAACGCAACACATGATGACGATTTGTGCTCACCCATCCACAAATTGGTTACTTGCTGCAACTTGAGGCACTTGCGTCATTTGTTTATGGCATCTACTGTTTGTCCTCCAATTTAAAGACGTGACATCCTGCCGTTGGACGAAAACAAGAATGGGGAAGATCGCCTCCCCACACCCTTTGAGGTCTGCGCAATAGTAGATCCAACCCAACCCTGTCCAAATGTGCAAAAGGGCGTCAAAACCTTTTTTAAATGGTGTAACACCTACGTACAGGAAATCATGGCTGAAGAAGTTGCAGTCTCCTTTTCCTGTAGATCTTTTCTCTACCACCATTGTGGCGCTCGACTTTCCGTGGAGGCTGGGTCGCAACCCATCGCCTGGTTGATGGAAAAGACCTCCGAGTTGTAGCTGCCACCTGGGCGAGACATGCCACCTGTGCCCCGCTGTACACATTGAGTGTTCCATACAGTGTTAGTATTCCGTCTGTTGTATTTAAAGCCAATCAGTCGGTGGTGCTTGATGCTTGTATTATATTCATGTGTTTTTCAACGTTCATGGAAATGTCAGAAGAAGTTGATCATTGATTACTTTTCCAACGGTTCATCATCCCTATATATACTTTACCCAGGGTTTAAAATTGAATTAATTTAAGAGAGCACCTCTTCCTGGGCAATGGGCGAGTACTTCCAGAACCGATACCCTAAAGTCCCTAAACCTATACTTCCTTGGTACCTCAACATTCATCTATTTTCAGGGATAGGGCTGAAGGATGTCTTGCCCCAAAGGGACCGAAACGGGCCCGGTGTTCGGGCCGTCCAACGTCCGCGTCCTTCTGAAGGGAGCCTGTTCCTGTTTGTTTAAGTCTAACCTCGCTAGTCCTTGAAAAAGTGAGTCGAGCTTTCTAGCTCCATCCCAAAGGATCTATATACCAATGTACCAATCTACCTCCCATGCTGGTTCTTCAGATCCACTTCGCGGTTTCCGCATCACCTCATCACCGCCCTTCCGTCACCGCCCTTCCGTTCACGGCACCGACACCGCGTCGCTCCCGCATCCCATCCGTTGAAACCGCCAGGCTCGCCCGGCCTTGAAACCGCACAGGGCTTACTGCGCTGTGGCCGACGGCCTGCCCGATGCGGCACGTGAGCGCGCCGGCCGGGCGCAGATGAATAAGAACTGAACACCCAATTCTGGAGGCATGGATAAGGTGACTTGGCATAAGGGATGTAGGTCCAGGCAAGTAGCGAACTCAGAGCCCAAAAATTTGCGGTAAAGCATCAAACAGGCTGTGGTTCTTGAGGTGACAACAGCAGTGCAATGTATCGTGTCTGATGCTGACAGGACAAGTTTGACCAACAGAAGTATAAAATGGATGCTTTGGTAGGTGCCAATGCCAAAAACGAACTCTATGTGGGTCAAACTTGGATGTCAGAAAGATAGTAGGATAACATCACGTGCTCCTTTTGAGGGTCTTGAGTCATCCGACATAGTTTCGACCTATCATCCAAGCAGGGACAGTCGTCCCACTGGTAATTATCATGCTCTACTGGGGTTCAACCCACAGATCTTTGGGTTGAATCCCTAATTTCTTGAAAAGGACCACCCAGTCGTGCTACAAACCCAGAAGAAGACGTCCCAAACATGCGGGGACCGAAGACGTCAGTGACCGCAGACGTATCCCGACTCGGCCACAGAGACCTGTTCACTGGAGTTTTCGGTGTTCGTATTCCGACTCGGAACGCCGGCGAAGTCGAGACCAGATGAGCTTCGCATGCTCAAGACCTCTCAGATGAATTCACCTCCATGTCTTCGTAGATGCCACACAGGATCTCGTTGCTATCCTGGCGGGGTTCGACGGGTCGGTCTGACGCAGCTCATCACAAGCCAAACGCGTTCGGGGTCCCCAACGAGACAGAAACGCATTCTCAAGGCACTTTGGGACATGTCTAGTTTGGGCTCATTGTACTCAAAACGCTTGCTGAAGGATCAAGTTAATTGCAAAGCACTCGATTGTGGCATAGTTAGGCATCATCCTACAAAGGTCACGTGAACGAAGCGTTTTCGTGGACCAGGAAGACCCTCTCCATCTCCTGGGGTCTCCCCACTTTGGTGGAGCCTTTTTGGCTCGGATCAATGGCGAAACCCTGTGACCCTGTGAGGAGAAGGACAGATCACCACGTGAAAGGAGGAAATTCACACTCCAAACAATCTCCACCCACGTGAAAGGGGCGATCTTTTTCGGAAGACACCCCCCCACCGCCAAGTGATAAGAAAAGAACATGACTGTCTACACTCACGTCATTACATGGACAGTGTTTGAGCCTTCCTTCCTCTTGGACACCACATGACCACTCATGACCTCATCTGTCCTCCCCTCTTGTGGGCCCAGGCCATGCACTCGCGCCCGCCACGCAGCACTGGGACCCGTGCATCCGCCGAGATGGCACGGCTGGTGATGCCCACTCCCTGCCGTGCGGCGGACGATCGACCGGTGGCCGAGACGGGCGACTGGTCCGACTGCGACTGCAGTGGGGCAGGGCCCGGCCTGGCGACTTGAGCCAAAGGGACTGGAGTTGTTTCGGGCATGTTTGAGTAATATAGTATAAACGAAAATGTTGATCAGAAGTGAAAAGGATTGAAAAGGGTTGTGGCTTCTGTGCGAGGAGAAAGATGATAAAAAAATCTTCAGTGGTTCTGCCCTCGCTGTTCTTCGCGGGGACTGGCCTCGGCCAGCCAAGAAATAGGCTTTGCCTGAAACAAGCCAGACCTGCCAAGCGCCGGGCGATCTGGCCAGGGCTGGGTCTCCGGAAAAGCATGCATGGACCTGGAACAGACCCATACAGACCCCGCTTGTAGGAGAATATCGTCTGAAAACCTGTTCCGATGCAAGCATGTTGATCAACAAAGGGGAGACACTGAATTAGATGTTGTGTGTTTTGTGTGGACCACCAGCAAAACCAACTTTGTTATCATGGTCACCTCATAAACTAGGCCTAGGCCTTGCCACCTTCGGAATAGAACTTAGACGCTGCCTTCTGTCCGGGTATTTCTGAATCAAGTTGCTTAAACCAGACATAAATGCAGCTGCTACGCACCACATGCTGTCACTATGCTGTTGCTGACGCCCCCCTACGGGGGGCAACAAGACCGGCAAACACTGGTTCCAATGGAACAGATTGTCGTAAACAAACAAGACAACCAAGAAAACAATGAAAGACAAGAAACTAAGAAAGAATGTAAACTAACAAGCCCAACTGCTAAACCAATCAATGAACAAACTGGCCAAAAGTCTCAACCAAAGAACCGAACATCGACACAAAGCCGCTGCGACGCAACCTCGACACGTTTAAGACCGACCTCGATTTGGACATCTTCAGCCGTGCGACGCGCTGGCTCCGATCCACCTGGCGACACGCATCGCTCCGTTCCACAACGATGAGCGCCAAGATCCGTCGGGTGACCCGATTCCGTGCGAATCACGATCAGCCCCATATGGGTCAGGCTCTGCGTCACGTGTTGCTTCTGCTGAAAGGAATAGTCGAACTGGACTGCTAGGGACCCAATTATACACTTCCTTGTGTGATGACCCAACTATACCCCCTGTCCAGTGAAACGATCAGCGCTTGTGGCAGACGTACGGAGATTGATCTGAAGTTGGGGTCATCTTTGCTGACTGCAACTGGGAACAGAATGAGTCGCCACCCCATTTCCGTGCATGGAAAGAGCCGGCCATGATACTTAAAGAGATATCGAATGATGTCACCATGCGTTTGGCCAAAAAGCAGCTGACACATGCAGTGGCAGTCAACTGCAAGGACCGGCCCACAAGCCTGCAGGAGCACCCAAAAGAACTACCAGCCCCAGCTGGCCCGGCAATGGTTCGTACGAAAGAGAGAAAGTCGAAAAAGGAACGCTTCTTGTTACTAGTAGCGATGGCCTCCAACCTACTTGCGATGGCCTCCACCTAATAGCGTCCTTGCTCCTAGTACGGGATTATTGAGCTGTTCGAGTTCCTTTTTTCTATTAGTAACTAGAAGCTACTATACTAGTGGAGGCCATCGCTACTAGGTTGGAGGGCCATCGCCACTAGTAACAATAAAGCTTTCTAGAACAAGAAAGGAAAGTCATGGAACATCAGGTCGATGAAATTGGTAGATGAATTAGTTCCATGCCCGTCCGTCTCATCCGACCCACCGACCTCCATCTCCTCCGTGTCCAGGGTCGCAGGCGTCTCCTCTGGGAGCGGCTCCTGGTGGAACGTCCGACTCGACCGAGTCAAGTCCACTCTGCATCGGAGTAGACCTTAGGAACAAAGAGGGGGACCTTTCTTGAGGACATGTTGATTGAGGTCATGTTATACAGTATCATGATTAGTATGCATTGTACATACCTGAATGGAGAGTTCTGACATCCTCAAGCCTCACTGTGTCTCTTTCTTTTGTCGCGTCCCGTCCTCTCCAGGACTCCTGGCTCAGCAGGTTGAACGCAAGGGGACAAATTAAGTACAAACATGTCAACAGACTTCCAAGCTGAATCCTACTTTTGAAGCAGGAGAACTCACTGAAAACCCGACCTCGTAGGAACACGAGGGACCCTTATAGGCCCTGTATGGGCCCTATCCTCCCTGATCTCTGGCTCTTGTTGCAGCATTTTAGGGGCGCCCAACAGGACCAAACACCGAAGTCGCTCCGCTTCAGGCAGCCGAGGCATACCCGATGTCTCGGACGGAGTTGAGCCCTGTGGCAGTCCTGTGAGCCATCTTAGTGATCCATGTTGGAATTCACCGGTGAGAACGGCATGGAGCCAGACTCCGGCCTTTACATATACCCGGTAGGGATCCAGAACGTTGGGCAACCCGTTCCATGGTGCCAAAAGCCATGAGAGCTCAACAACTCCTCTGCCTACGGCCCGCGTTCCTCTCTTTGGAAAGGGAAAGAAACATTCAGAACCTTGGGCCGTTTGCAACCATAAGATCGGGTTCGGGTTGCACATGGAAGGTACACAATCCCTAAAATAACATGCAAGTGGACCGCCACCTGATTGAAACACTGTTTGTAGAGGAAAATGGTTATCCAAGGTGCCATGTTCCACTTCCATGATCATTTCAGGGAGTGTGTATATATATAATTACTTTAAGCTGCACCACTCCGAACTGCCTCCGGTCGGCACAAATCTCCAAGAAAGCCTCCAGTCAGGGGCGAGACGATCCGAGGAGTTGAGTTGCTTTGGATCCGAGTAGATCGAGCGGAAAAAAGGATCTTCGATTGATGTGAAGGAACAACCGGTTTTTCGCTTCCATGCCTGGTCTAGATGTTCTCTCGGTGAAACCTGGTAACATGGTGGGCCGTGATCAACTAAGCTTGACATGGCAAGCCGCCTCACAACTGAATTGTCGGTTTTTCAACTAGCCCCCACTCAGCCTCTCCCACCGAAAAGAAAACATCTCAAACGAAGGCACACACACACATTCTTCACTGTGGTGCCAGGTTTTGGATAGCCGTGATTCCGATGAACATCTACTCAAATCGTACAAAACAAGTACATGGCTCTCATTATATTTTCCAGATCAGAACCTAGTGGTCCTACTAAATAGATCTCTATATGTTCCATCATGTGGCAACCAGTTGTATTGGGTCCCAGCAATAACGTACTTATGTCACCAAAAGAAAAGAGACCTCTCCGTGGCCAACGGGCCAACAAGTCTTCTTCCGCTCAAATCTTTGGGTCTTGCCCATTGGTGGCCCCAAGTGATGTTTCAAGCTGCCTGGAGCTGTTCGTCAGCACGGTCCTGGAGGTGTTCCAATTTCAAATTTGGCAGCACACAGAAAAAAGTAAACATGGCCTTCGTCAGCACGTTCATCAAAAGAATCACAGCATCTCAAAGGCTCAAACGAAGAGGCATTAAGACCCATGAGGCTCACTTCATGGAATCCCATGGGCAGACCGGGTCATCAGCGGGTCGCGATTCGCTGTGTCGAGCAGCGATCGAATGAAGACTCAACGCAGAAGGCCAAGTCTACGCAGCTCTAGAGGCCACTTGGAGCGCTTGTGTACAGTGGTACAGTGGGTTCAGTGTAGATGGCACTTGTTCATATGGACCCCTATCAAAGGATATCTTGGGGATTGTGCCATCTACTCTCAAACCACTGTAAAACCAACCATGCACACAGAGTATTAGTATGCAAAAGAGTTTCTTATGTGCAAAAGCCGCTGCACGTGAAGGGGACGCTCCTCAGAAGCGACCCACGGGCAGGTGAGAACCTCTGTGTACTTCTGCCAACCTCCACCCTAGTAGGGATGGCCTTCAACCTACTAAGCCATGGCCTCCAACCTAGTAGCGATGGCCTCCACATACCGAACTGGTCATGCATTTAAACGTCATTCCGAACTGGTGGGCTCATGTCCTCCCATCCCATCCCATCACCCGTTGCTCCCCACCCATCATGAGTCGGAGGGGAGCTTCCGTACACCCCACCGTCCTCCTCCATCATCACCGCTTCCAAGCGCCCACTACTGATGATGTAGATCTCAGTGGTCACTTCACCCGCCTCGAGATAGCGCATGACACGTGTGTGACCGTGCGTGCGTGACACGAGGGCCCGTCAGCGCCCAATGAGAGAAGGACTTTAAAGTGTATGTATGGGAAATCCAGGAGACAAGTGAGTCCAAGAATAGCAGCTTTGAAACCAAACTATAAAAGAGACATAGCAATACAACAACCAATGAAAACAGAATGAGTGAGTCTTCTCTAAAGTCGTTCTGACAAGCCCGACTGGACGATCTTCGCAGCAAAAGAACCCCGGCTTGGGGAAAAAAGGCAGCCTTCCAATATTTACAAAAAAAATGAAAACAAGAGAAATTCCACCAGCTGAACAGGAATCCGCCGATTCGCCAGACCCCCAAGCGGACCCGCTGTTGGGGACATCGTTTCCCCCAACCAGCGGCCGCTTTCGCCTCGATGATGCACATCCGGAAGGGCACCTGACATCCCGATGGGTCAGAGCGGGTGCGTTCGATTGGCACAGCCTGTTTTCTACTGTAATTGTTTCAGCTTTCAACGGACTTTCCAAGGTTTGGTAGGCTTTAAAACTGTTCACTACCATGGAAAGCACCCCACATCACTCCTTCGCATCAAACCAGCCGTCACCCGCGAGACGCCCACGCCCGGTTGTTGCCTTTGAAAACCCACTCCGTCGCCGAAGCGACTCACCGGCGCCTGCATCGGTGCCACCTGAAAGACCAGCTCCGCCACGAAGCTCTTCTCCGAGACGCCCAGCGCCGCCTGGAGCAAGTCGACCACCCCCGGGAGATGACTGGAAGCGCCAGAGAGAAAAAGCTGCTCCCGCCGCCCAGGAGGTGCAACTGAAAAGAGACACGATGGCTCAGGAGGGGCTCAGGAGGGGCTCAGCTGGGTGTCTCTCAAGATACTGTTCCTTCGGACGTCCGAAATCTGCACCTGGGAAGCCTGTTGGGTCGATCGGGCAGTATCCGTGAACTACAGCAAGTGGTGGTTGTATAGGAGTTGGTCCATCAACTGTGGGATTCAAGTCCACAGGGCTCCAGGTCGTCATGCCAAGAAAGGAACAGAATAGTCTACACATGTGTGTCTACGTGGCCATTTGCGACACAGTGGGAAGCGCCCTTCAACTCCAGGTCCAGTATATGATATTGGTGTCCAGTTGGGCCAGCCGGTTCTTTGAGATGCACTCAACGGTGTGGAGTTCAATCGACTTCCGCTCTGGGCTCAAGGAGTTATCGACTGTTGCCTGCTCCGACTGGCCAACACCAACAGAGGGTGATCCTCTCTCATAGGCCCCTTCAGGAAGTAATCCCCCACAAACACCGAGGAGATCCCACGCACCGAGAAGATCCTCAGGGTCCAACAGCCACCCGAGGTGGGAGCTCCTGTCCCTAAACTGGTCAATCCTGCCGAGACAGCCTGGGATGCGTGGGCACATTCCCTCCTACTATATAAGTGGTGTGCCTACCAAGCCTAGGAGGGCTCACCCCATCAAGAACCTGGTGTCCCCAAAACAAGTGGCAACCTTGCTGTTGTTTTCCCAGCTTTCGGGCACTGCCCCTGGTATACTAGGTGCTTGAGCTTCAAGACCGGGACCTGTTCCCCAGCGTTCGGACGGTTCCCCAGCGTCTTCGCACCCGCCTTTTTCCGGCGCAGACCCGAACATCCGAATGGAAAACTGGGCAATGACACGACTAAGAATCGACGGCCGAGGTTCGTTTCGGTTCTGCCCATGGCAATCAGGCGAGGTTGTGCCAAATGATCCACATGTGACGAGATGCGAGTGCATGTCTAACAACGGTCTGCCACAATGCTCAGTCTACTGTACTCGAAGACCCAAAAAGCAAAGTAAAGCCATTCCAAACCCACATGGCAAAAGGTTGCCATAAAACGGAACCTGGAAAAAATGTATAAACACGTGGCAGAAAACTCTGGTCTCGTGGAATCCCTCGGTTAGGGTCTATGTGACATTTCTGGTGTATGTCTGTATGTCTGTTTTCATCCTTGTTCCTGGTCAAAGGAGTTCCGTAAGGATGCCCTTGTTCGTTTCTTCGCTATGCTTTCATGTTCTTTCATGTCTCCATGGTATCGAAAGTCGGCCTTCCCGCTTCAAAAAAGCCTGCCATGAAGCGTCAACTCGCGCAGCCCCTAACATTGCTGCGACGCCCAAACACAGGTCATCCGCGTTTGAAGCCTTGATGTGAAACGGGCAACTCGCACTCAAACTGTTGGCCCTCACTTTGGCAAGGCTTTTGGCAGCTTGCCACTGTCCAGCCTCAGAGTGCCCGGCCACGTGGAGGGACCCTTCAGAACCCGATCGATTTGGGGAGCTTGCGGCTTCGTGTGACACATCACGGCTTTGGGGTACCTAGCATCGGTCGCTCACACCACGGCTGGAATGAGGCAACTGCTCCTGAACAGTAACTGAGTTTACAAACACGGCCGTCCATGTCCATGCCAAAAATGATGAAAGTCAACTGTGAGCCCTTGTGATGAAAATACGTAGCGGCGAATTGAGGGGTGTGAAAAGAATATTTAGATATAAAAATCCATGTGCGTCGCATTTTGCATGTGTGATTCTTCACGCGTGAAGCCAGTCAAAAGAAAGGGAAGCCAGTCCGCTCAAGTGCCACAGCTGTGCACCTGAGGCCTGCGCACTGGCTAATAGAAATGAATCGAGACCCGTTGAAGACGGAATATCAAAGGCTCAAGTTAGTACAAGAAAAGAGCTCACAGGTAGGTTTTCGCGTGGAGTCGGGTTCAGGCAAAGATCTGCATGTAGCAGTGTCTGGCTCGTCAAAAAGGACACATCAGAATCAGAATGGCACTAAGTGGGCATCTGTGCACAAACCATTGACTCAAGTTTGCACTTCCTTTTGGTGCATGTATTGGATGACGACCTCTCAAACCAAACCTCCAAGGATAAGGACTAAGTTAGCAGCACGTTACTCATGTGCAGAAGGAATTACAGAGAAAATATAGTCTGCCCATAAAATTCCATCGGTGCAATCTCAAGAAGAATTTAGCAGCCACTCCTTGGAGTTGATCAGGGTTCCAAGCAGGTTCTTGATCACATCCTTGTGTTGCGCACAGTTCACGTGGCATATAGCCCATTTTCGTAACACACCCAACCCTGTTTTTCGGGCTGAAGCCGCTGACGGCGACACCCCATTCGCCTGGCAAAACACGCCAAGAGAGCTTCACCCAAGACAGCGATTCCGATCGATCCAGATCCATCGATGAGCCGAACTTGGAAGACAAAGCTCGACCCAATCGCTTGCCGTTGCCCTTCGTTCTCTCGAAGGCTTCGAGGACCCGGATCGTTGGTTCTTCCGAGTGGCTCCAACTGCATCTGCTCCTTGGTGAGAAGACCCGGCAACTGCATGTCCTGAAGCCCAGAGCACCGGTGGGGTTGCGAAAGACACCCGGGTTTCACATGACGGGGTTGAGCGCAGCGGGAAAATCGTGGCGGGCATTGGTGAAAGCTGCGAACCTCGGAAGATCCAGATTTGGAGATTGAACTTGGTGGTGTACACTCCCTAATATAATCATCAAGTGAATGGCATGGGCTCTTGGAATTTCCGATTGGACTGATCTATACATATCCATGCCATTGGGCAGTTGGTATCACAATGGACAGTTCAACAGAGCTTTCGATTTATCCAAGGTCTGTTCTTTTCCATGTATATAATAAGTTATACGTTATACGCCCAAGAGCAATCGTCACCAGTTTGAGGGTCGCTAAGTCCGCTAAGTTTCCTTGGCCATCCACTGTTGCTGGGTCAGTGGACAACCCAGTAATGGAACAAATCCTACACCAAAGCAAATCATGGTTCATGTGTTGCGCCGGAAGAGGAGAATGCCCTTCTGATTTGTGTGGTACGTCCGTCCCGAATGGCGAGACAAAACTGCCTATCTGGTGGACGGCAAAAGCAAGACCCTGGTGTTCGTGGGGGCTTTGCTTTTCCGAGGTTGCAATGAAATTTTGGGCACATGAAATATGTGTTCACTAGAACTCTTTGACCAATGATTTCATCTGTCATCTCTGAAAGAAGGCCTGTCCTTCTTGCCCTTCATCAACGGCTTGCCATAATCAGCCTCAATCCAGGACGTGCCACCTCAGCACTGTTGGCCAAGGGGTCCTCCAACAAATCCAGGTTCCCCCCAACCGCGGTGCCACCGTGCCACCGGTCCCTCGAACGGCGCCTCGCATCCCGATATCTTGTGTCCAAAGTGTCTTGAAAGCACAACACGGTCGGGTGACGTGTCAGGGCCGCAACACCGACGAAGCGAAGTTGGGAGAGGTGCTTGAACCATCGATTTCTGATGCGGGGGCCTTTTGAAGCGAATCTCTCTTCTACGATGACCAGCCAAAGGCGGTCCGCCCGAGGTCCGCCCCAGTCCCCGACCCGGCCGGTCTTCCGTCCGGTCATCCGTCCCAGGGCTTCGGACGCTCCTCGTTGAGGGGATCAAAGCCAGACCAGGCCTCAAGCAGGAGAGGAAGACCTGCTCTATTGGTGGATTTTGCCCCGTGACCCAACATGCAAGAGATGGATTTCATCCCAAAGGTCCATCTCCACCTCTTCTCTCTCACCAACTCCGTGGGATGCGAAGCGCACCACCATCTCGACTCTCTCCGGACTCGTCTTCACATCGACTCCAAGGGGCGGCCAATCCACGGAAGAGGCCATTCTGATTGGGGGCGCCCGACTGGTCCACGTACTTGGGGAACCAACCTGAGATCGCCAGGCCCCAAACCCACAGCAGGACGTGTCTTTTTTCGCGTCGTGTTTTTTTGTCCCTCTCGTAGTGGGTCACAGGTCGCGGGAAAGAATCACAACAGGGGGGGCGCTTTGGTAGGAAGAAGTCGGTTGAATGAGTGGAGAACTACCTGGAAAGCTAGAAAATCAGAAAACTATGACTATGACAAGCTGTCCCCATGTGCTTTTGCTCCGATCATAGAGCCCTCCGCCGGTACTTGTGCTTCAACCGCAGATTTGCCTCGTTTGTGGTACTGAGATGTGCACGCTTGTGTCCATAGCGCTTCAACCAGTACCTGGGCAGGAGAAATTGTCTGATGAGTTCGGGAGTGTCATCTTGGCTCCGTAGTATTTTCAGCACTCAACAACAACAACAACAACAACAACAACAACAACAGAAGGTACAAGAATACGTTTCGGGACCAAAGACTCAAAGAAGACTCTAAGATCGTCCAAGTGAAAGACGATCTCCCCAACGAAGCCAAAGGTGCTGGGAGCATGGCTGAGCAGAAGTGCACACATCGGGATCCAGTGCCCCCCAAACATCAGGTCTGCCAAGGAGAAAAGTCTGACGTTCACCAAGCTCACTGCATGTCAGCAATCAAAAAGATCGAGAAAAATACAAAAGAAAGAAAACAATAACGAAAACTTACAGTAGTAACCCAGGACCCAGATGTTCGGATTCACGATCCCTAAGAACTTGCCCGCCTCTTTGCACAGACACCTGTCCTGAATCATTCGCCCGAGTTCCTCTTTCTGGTTCAGGTCCTACTCGTGGATGAGTGGTGTTTTTTTTTTTTCAAGTACTCTATCGTGGTGTCCTCGAGAGAGAGAGAGAGACCCCACCTAAAAAGCCAAGAACGCAAAGAAAAAAGGTAGATATCTCGAGCACGCACAATACACACAATGCACTCAATCCTAGCCACCCCCTAGCCACCCCCCAGGGCTTATGTCTACCCGCTTCACGGCCAGGCGGCTCGTTCTCGGCAATCTTCTTGGGATCCTCCAATCCTGCCTGGGCGATCTCCTTCTTCAAGCGGCCTGGCCATCGCGATGCGACAACCCAAGTGGTTTCGGACTCACCTGTTACGCCATGGTTGCGGTGTCCTTGGGCAAAAGGATACCTAGCCCGTTCTATTTGTGTGGGAATGTCAGTTTTTGAAAAAGCAGAGACAAAACAGAACCTCATACAAACAGGGTGGTCACCTTCAGTGTTGGAAGCGAGCCCTGTTATCAGGATGTGTTTGGACTAAACTCCCTGAAAAGTATCATGGAAATTGGACATATCCCCCTTGACTTCGTTCGTTCTACAAACAGGCGGTGTTCCACTTCCAGGGAGTCAATATAGCTGCATTTGGAAGCATCCGGACTTTGTGTCATTTCGGCATATGAAGCAGGCGAAGGACTGTCCATTCCCAAGCTACTTCACTTGCTCAAACCGCTTGGTCAAAGCCGTTCGCAGCTCGTTCGCATCCGAGGGCCCAAGCGCAAATTGTCGTTGTTGCCAGTCCCACCAAGCATCTCCCCCAACTTGATCTTGATGGGCCCCAACCTGGGAAGACCACGGCGGCTCCAGCTTGGCGCCAGGACAACAGACCCAATCCATTCCGTAACTGCGTCACATCTACCACAAAAGATGCATGGAGGGTGCCAAGTACCCATGATCCCTCCACCCAAGAAGAGTACATCCAATGTCCTCCAAAGGGGTGGTTCATGGACACCCCAACAGCTAAGGGGCTATAAATAGACACCCCTTGAAGGGTCCTGATATCCAAACGATGGGTATTTGGGGTCCCAAACAATCGACCCGATCGACCCGATTCTCGGCTCCGCGGCTGGAAGATGGGAGGCGTGTCGATGCCCTTCTTCACCTGCCGGTGACGTGGGGCAGAGAGATGCGGAGTTGGTGGCGCTGAACATCCAGATGGTCGCGTACTGAAAGAACCTTCTTTTCCTGAAAGGGGGTGGGAAAGCAAAACTTGCAGGGAACCACTTCACTGGAGCTTCGTGCTAAAGACCCAGAAACCTCGTTGTTTTCCACCCGGCCGAAACCAATCATCAGGTCGTCAGGCCCGGAACGAAACAACGCTTTTTTGGAACTGCGGGGAGTCGTCTTTCATGCTTGACCCGTCGGCCTCTTCCGGCGAAGCGCGCATGCGGTAACGGTAGCCCTGAGCCCACCTCAGAGGGGTTGAGTTGATGGCTGTCTCGGGGGGGCCAAGTCCGAAGTCCCCTTTGGACAAGCTTTTGGATGCGCACCCCACGAAATCCAGAGTTTCCTGGGGAAGGAAGCTTGGGGGGGGGGAGGTTACCAGTCTATGAACCAAGTGCTCCAGTAAAATCCAACATGAAAAGTGCCCTGCTGGGTGTTTGGGAAGAGGATGTTTTATGATGTTTTATGTGGGGGATGGTCGGTCAGTTCCATGCGGGTAAATTTTGAGGCTGCACTTTGACTCATTTTCACGTCGAATGGAATTCCATTCCATGTCCCCAAAGCGTGGAAAAGGATCCTCCACTATGCCACGTCAGCTTGACAAGGAGAGTCTAAAAAAACAACCCGCGATCTGGAGTTTACATGGGCCGCCTCTCGAACGGGCTTCCCCATTCCCATTTTCTGGAAGACGTGCAAAAGACATCCAGCTGATAGAAAGCCAACCCATGGCCCCGTGGCGACTAGGTTCATTCCCAAGCGGGTTTGGCAATTCGATCCCATAAAGACCAAGAAAGATGGTGCTCCCGAACCCATCGTACATGGACAATTTGCAGTAAAAGCGGTGGATCGTTCTACAAAAAGATTCCCCGGGCTTCTGGCCAAGCCCCAGCCTCTTCTTATCAACTCGTGCATAACGTCTTCGCCCAAGAGTCGGTCCAGTAACTACAGGACAACTACAGCCAGCTCCGTTCTTTCCAGCTGTACAACTGAAAGCCGCTCTCTTTCACGTCCCATTTCCACGCGAACCTCAAAGAAAAGACTTCTCCCATCTCTCAACTGAGTGACTGCGACTTCTCAAAGCCCTTCTCTCCCACCCAGAAGCCCTCAGAGACCTGGAGGGAGCGATCGCCTCAGTCTCATCAGTCCGACCGGCTCCGTCTCCGACCCGACCCCCGGCACGCCGTAGTGACTCGACGCGGTTCGGGGCGTCGAGGGGCGCTTCGACCTGCAGATCGGTTTCAGAACACCTGGGGAGAACGTGGGGATGCCACAGCCCACGATGTCCAATAGAAGAACATGTCTCATACACACCTCTAGAGGGTCCTCTAGGTGCGTGTTTTTCGAGTGGGATCCCCTTGAACAAATGGATTGGCCCACGAAGTCACTTCGAAGCAGAGGATTTGGGTGGAGCCACGTACTAATTCCAAAAGACGCCAGTCCGCCGACAGGATGTCTTTCCACTCCTGATCGCCCTTCCGAGCTTCCAAACATCTCACCAAAGCCAGGTACCTGTTGTTGGTGGCCCTGGGCATTTGCTTGAACAACCAGTCATCATCCCCCAAAGCCACCCATCCTATCCCATCCTTATGCTGACCTTTGTGCGCCAAGCATCCATCCTTGGCTTCGAGCATTCGGTCCTGGTCCGGTGAGGCGAGACGACCCACTGGGTCCCTGGGGTCCACCCCCAAGCAGCTGGGTCGGTCATGTGGTGCCCAAGTCATCTCTCCACGAGGCCGAAAAGACGGACGGGCATTTTGGAGAACTTGGCATGCCTATTGTTGAGCCATGTATATATATATATATAAGTCACTTGAGCCAAGGGGAGCTCCAGATCCAAGAACATTATATATTTGTTTAAGGAAATTCCGGAATCCCCCTTCTGGGGTTCATTTCTGTTTTGTCTGTAGCCTACCATAGCATTCAATTCGAACCGGCTCCACCCAGGCCCCTCAGACGCTTTTCGTCGGCTCCCCCCAAAACCACCGCGCGGGCAATTCTGCAGCTGCAGGCGCCAGTCGGTAGCCATTCATGGAGGTCCGGGGTTCGTGCCTCGAAGAGAACGATTTCGCCGATGGGCCGAAAACGCACCGATTCCCGATGGGCAGCCGCGATGTCTCTGCTGTTCATTCGTTTGTGAGAAGGCTCCGGTGAACGATAGGACAAGACTGGTTTTGTGATCCCCAGTTGATGAGCATGCTAAACCATGCCTAGTGACCAGCACTATCTTACAAGTGGTGTGCAATCTATATACACAAACCTCAAGAAAAGTATGGGAGAAACGAAGCCCTGAAGAGTGGTTAATGAAGTTTCAAAACTGCTCGGACCTTCCGGGAACAACGGCCGCATTGCCTCGTCGGGCCGGAGCCCACAAAGGCCCACGTGCCGAAGGCCAGCGCGGTAAGCCTCAGGTGTTTGGCGGACTCTCCACCATGGACGTTGGTCAAGGGCTTAACCAAAAGGAAATCATGGGTCATACAGTAAATGATGAAGAAATGTATTGTTAATGACTACCCCTCGCAACCATATACCTGGTGTATATATATATATATACCTGGTGCCTGGCATGTTCTTTCCAAGAACCTCTGCTGAAACCGTCCGACACTTGCTGCTTCGCGGCGTGGCCATTCCGCTTCGGCGTCCCATGGCTGCGACCGGGGTTCGCACGGCTGCGACGGGGTTCAGGGCGTTGTCCGGTCCGGGTGACGGCGCAACTGGAGCCAAAAACACAGAGGGGTGGCCGCAGGCGCTCTTGAATATGTGACAGTATGTGACAGTGGGAAACGATCAGATCTTCGTGTTGGGTAGGAACAAGTGCATCTTGCTACTAGTAGTAATGCCCTTAGTTACTTAGTTACTAGTAGCGATGCCCTTGTTAACCTCTGGCCCCCCAGCTCTTGATCTTGGAACCCAGAATCGATTGAAGTGCTCCTTTCCGCCAGCGCAATCCAGATCAGCTGCGCCAGCGAGGAGTCTGGGTGTGCCGTAGGGTCTCAGGTTCCCCCTCATCTATTCGACTGAAACCATCACCAGCATCGAAACAGACTTGGTCTTCCTTTTGACAGAGTTTGCAGAACTATTGGCATCCTTTGCTGGCAAGCAGAACCCTTTGCAACGTGGTCGACTTCCAACTTCATCCACCACACCCACCCAAAAAAGATCAAAAAGGCCGGCCAACGCGTTCGCAGACCAAACGCACCAAACGACCTTCGACCTCACACCGGCCCATCGAGCAGGACCACACCGGACCACAGTCAGCGTTCGTTCCAACACGAACGCGGTTCGTTCGTTCACACCTGTAGGGCTTGGAAGTAGAGCCTCTGCGAGCTCTCGACCTGGCTTTCGGCCGCGAAAAGCATGGCGAAGCGCGCGGCTGAGCGATCAGCATGGTCACACCACCCACCGAGATGTTCCAAGTCAAGGGAAAGGAATGCCGAATGCCTCGCATATAGTAGAGTTGCTGTTAGAAAAGAGGACAAGCCCACATGCGACATGCAGCGACCACTGAAGTCTGTGGCCATATCAAAATGAAGACAACTTTGGATCCGCAAGATGTTCATGTTCCATTTCGTCATTGAGTCCACCGGGGCTTCCACTTCCATGTTAATGAGTCGGAGGGTAAGCCCCACGTGTCCATGCCCGAATCGGCGCTTGGCTGGCGAGCCGTGAAACCGCCACCAGTTCATCCTCACTCGATGGTTTTGGGTTGTTCTAATGGCACCTGCATCTTCAGAGGCATCTTGGTTTTGGTTCATAAGTTCATACTCACATCACCCGTTGGACAACTCTTCAGGATGACTCCCAACTCACATCGCCGCACTCACGACTTCGCCCTCCAAAAAATAAGCCTCGGCCCCCACACCAGCTGACTCCGAAGGTGAGTCGGCAAGGAGAGCAGCGTCTGATCTCGGTCCTGCACATTCGACACGGCTTCGACCCATGGGGAAACCCCGCGGTCGAAGTCACCCGCCGTGGCAGTCAACGCGTGTGGGTCCACACCCGTCCTTGAGGGCCCTTCGAGAGGTGACGAAGCAGAAGTGCGACCACACCTGACGCGACGAGCTGAGGAAGCTTCCCCAAAATGAGCAGATCAACTGGAGTTCGGTCAGTGTATGTTCCCAATCCAAGTTGGTTGGGTCATCAAGAAAACAAATAAGAATCACATATCAGCCGGGAAAAGAAGACGGGTTGAATCCTAATCACAAGCTGTCAAATCTGTTGAGCTTGATGTTGGAATGATCATCCTGTTTTGCCACAAGCACAACCCCAGCATCAGCTGCAACATCCACTCTGCTATTCACCACATATCTCTACAACCTCAAGAAGCACACGTCTGCCTCGTG